TGCCATTTGTTGGCCATAAATTTAAAATAAGAATAAGAAAATAAAACAATAATTCCTTTATAATAATAGGCTACGTCAGACCCGTAGGCGTAGCTTAGACACCTCTGCTCCTCAGCAGCAACCGTGTAGACTGCATCGGCACAGACTGCCAAGAAACTATGATGCAAAAGTAGAAGATAACTCAGAGCTGCTGTTCCACAAAAAGGAGAAATATCACTTTATGAATTCAGCAGAGCAGCAGGAAGTTCAGAGAGTTCATTGTTGGCCTCATCTGACCCCAATCATCCCGTGTGTCACGGTGGAGCGGAATGGCACAGAAAGTCTTCCCCCTGCTGCAAATCAAACAGACCTCCTGCTTCACCACTGAGTAAAGACTGCATGCTAACTTCCTTCATGTCTTCTAGTTTTCACATTATTTAATTCTATTCAGTTTATTTCTATAGCTCCAATTCACATCATGTCATCTCAGGTCACTTTATAGATCCAGATCAACCAGATCATCCAGTCAGATTAAATCAAAGTTTTCTATCTAAGGAAAACCAGCTGATTGCATCGACTCATTGACTCTTCAGCAATCCCTCACACTAAGCATGCTTGCAGGGACAGTGGAGAGGAAAAACTCCCTTTGAACAGGAAGAAACCTCCAGCAGAACCAGGCTCAGTGTGAGCGGCCATCTGCTGAGGCCCACTGGGGTTCAAGGAGACAGAAGCAGACATAGAAAAAGAAGCATAGATACAATAGGCGGCCCCGTCCAGGAAAGTCTTTAGTCTCCGTTTTTGTCTTTATGTTTATTCTGATCCAGAAACTCCGACTTTGCCGTTGCAGCAACTGATGGATGTTTCTTCTTCTTTGTCTGTTCAGGTTTGCAGTTGTGCTAAACTTTCTAATGAAGGACTGAGCAGCCGTCAGTAAGACGTTCAAAGCTTCATCATGCTTTAACTTTCCCCAAATGACTTCAGAACAAATGTTTTCTTTAGCTCTCCTGTTTCTAAAGTTTAACTTTGATTGAACAATCATCCACCACTGCATGCTGCTGTAGCTGAAGCAGGCTGACGTTTCTGCTCCAAACAAACCTTTGAAAGGTTTATCTGCCACGTCAGAAGAAGAGCTGCCTCTGTGGCAGCATGCACGTCCCTGCAATCAGTGTAACTGTTCAAACTACACTGCCGCCGCCGCCGTGCGCACGCATGGTGATTGCTCCATTAGGGAAGGCAAAGTGACAGCTACAGTTTGTTCTTCTCAGGCCGCACGTTCTGTTCTGCTGTTAGGTGGACACACACGGCTGCACGCCTGCAAATTAAGAGGTCACATATCTAAGCGCCATGTTTAGAGGAGATCTGTCACCAGACTGCCCCCCCCATCACACACAGAGGGAGGCGAGGCTGTTTGTGGCTCAGAGGGAGTAAATCAGTGTGTCTGATATCTTCATTTGAAACAGAGGGCTGATCACTGCTCGTCCTGCTTGTTCCACATTAACTCATTATCACACACGCTCACTCCATTAATTCCCCTGCTTTTCCTAACAACACACACTCACAGGGAGCGGACTGATGACAGGCGCTGCCTCTACCTCATCTGACAGCTAATGGCTTCATTAGGAGCCGCCTGTTAATTGGCTGACTTCAGGGAGAAGCTTGTTAATGAGGATAAATAGATTCACACCTGAGCGGGGCGCTGCCACCCTCAGCAGCTCAGTGATGAGCAAACCTGGCCCTGCAAACATGGAGGAGGCCCCGTCCTTCCCCCCCCCCGCCTGAACACACTGAGCTGGAAGGTTGGTTTATTCTTGCCAGGCAGACTTATTAGGCGGCTGCTTGATTAGCACCAGGAGGCCAAAACAAAGAGCAGTATGTCAAAGCAATTAGCCCCACTGTTTACCTCTCAGCTCCTGGACTGACTGCAAAATGCATCTAATCCAGGGGAGGAAGCAGGGGGGGTGGGGGGGGGACAGCTGCTCTCCAGCAGGCCGGAGTGTGTGATGGGAGCAGGCCGTCAATCCATCAGCTCTGCTGCCCATCCATGTTCTCTGCTGTCTGGAGGGGGGGGGGGGCTTTTTAGGAAGGGCTCATATTCTAATGGGACTTCACCGAGGGGGGGGGGGGAATGGTCAGACAAAATGCAAGCAGGCGAGACTGATCATTTGCATAAAGGACAGAAACAGGCCCACAGCATGAGGAGCTCCACACAAACACACCATCAATTAGACGGTGACCCCCCCTAGTGGAGGCTGGAGCAACTGCAGCTTAATATGCGAGGGAGGAAAGAAACAAAGAAATGAGGGACGATTATAGGAGCTACTAACATTTTTTATTAATTCTTAAAATCGCCGAAGGGGAAAAAAATCTTTTGTAAACTGATATCAAACGTGAAGGTTTGATTGATTGACTAATTTATTACATAGATTAGAGACATGTCTTAACTTTCTAAACAGAAATCCCAGATCAAAGAGGTTTCTAGAATTTCCTTCTTTCATCTGAGGAATATTGCAAAAATGAGCAATCTCCTGTCCAGGGGTGATGCTGAGAAACTAGTCCATGCATTTGTTACTTCAAGGCTGGACTATTGTAATTCTTTACTATCAGGAAGTCCACAAACTGTAGTTAAAAGCCTTCAGCTGATCCAAAATGCTGCAGCCAGAGTTCTGATGAAAATGAAAAAGAGAGATCATATCTCTCCTATCCTGGCTTCTCTTCATTGGCTTCCTGTTAAATCCAGAATAGAATTTAAAATCCTCCTTCTCACATATAAAGCCTTAAATGGCCAAGCTCCATCTGATATCAGAGATCTGATTGCTCCTTATGTTCCTAACAGAGCACTTCGCTCTCAATCTGCAGGTTTACTAGTGGTTCCTAGAATTTCTAAAAGTAGAATGGGAGGCAGATCTTTTAGTTCTCAGGCTCCTCTCCTGTGGAACCAACTACCAGTTTTAGTCCGTGAGGCAGACACCCTGTCTACTTTTAAGGCTAGGCTTAAAACTTTCCTTTTTGATAAAGCTTCTAGTTAGAGTGGCTCAGGTTATCCTGATCTATCTCTATAGTTCTGCTGCTATAGGCTTAGACTGCTGGAGGACATAGGGACCCCTTTTTCATCATTCTGCTTCATTCTATCTCTATTCTCCCACTCTGCAGAATCTGTTAGTTCAATCTCTAACGTTCTGCTCTCTCTGCTTTTTCTCATAGTAGCTTCATCTGGTCTGTTCCTGTTTGGCTGTGACTCCATCCTGGAGAGAAATATCAGCTGTACTGCTGCCATCAACACCTTTGTTTCTAGATGTTGGAGCTTGGCCTGTTTTCCAGTGTAGTCCTGTTTCTCTGACTGTGACTAACTGGATGTGCTCTCTTCGTCCTCTGGCATGGGAGCTGGCTCGGAGCTCGTCTGCCTGGCTGTGTGTTTCCTGGACGGGGCCGCCTGTGGAGCTGGTTGACAGTTGCCTTTTGTATCTATGCTTCTTTTTCTATGTCTGCTTCTGTCTCCTTGAACCCCAGTGGGCCTCAGCAGATGGCCGCTCACACTGAGCGTGGTTCTGCTGGAGGTTTCTTCCTGTTCAAAGGGAGTTTTTCCTCTCCACTGTCGCTACAAGCATGCTTAGTGTGAGGGATTGCTGAAGAGTCAATGAGTCGATGCAATCAGCTGGTTTTCCTTAGAGTGAAAACTTTGAATCAATCTGACTGGATGATCTGGTTGATCTGGATCTATAAAGTGACCTGAGATGACATGATGTGAATTAGTTATAAACTGAATTGAATTGTTTTATGGTTCCAGAAAAAAAATAATTTCTCATATGGCTTTTTTTCTTGTCACTCCTCCAAAGAAGTCATTTTCAGGAGGAGCATTCTTGTCTTTAGAAGACGCTTTGGTTTGTTACACAAAAAATTGTTAGTTTTTTCCAGGCCTTCATTTTTTGAATCATGTCTTTTGATAGATTTTGTAACAAACTGGTCAATTTAATTTATTAACCAGCAGCATTTTGGTCTCATTATAAATTTAGGTACCGTACCCTAAAGCTAGCAGTGGCTCTATAAACTGACACTTCCATCGCTGCTCCTTCAAACTTATCATTGGTCTCTAATCAGCTCCTGCCTGTTGAGGCCATTTTTCTTTTTTCTGGCGTCTTGTTTGCTTGTTTATTGCATTTAAACCAGTTTAATTTGATCTGGAAGGTTCATATTTTGCATGCATTGTAACTGCACTGCTTAAATCGTTTTGCAAAATCTCACAATGTTATACATGGTTTAAATTAAGACATGTTTGCCGACAGGAGCGGATGTTTGTCCACAATAAAAGGCTCATTTTTCATGACTTGCTGCATGCATGCAGCTCGCCATGGAGGCGACCAGCTGTCCAGGTAGCAGAGGGAACACCTTTGGTTGGATAAACCTTCTCTAGCAGATAGCATCACAGCACACTGCAAAGTTTAGACTTCACCTCACGCTTCCAAAGCCTCCGACCCACTAATGGTTCCAGAATTAACCCAAAATAATGAGTTGACAAACTTTACAGCAAAATCAATTAAAGATCGCTGAAAAGCGTAACTTTGGGAATCAGCGGCCTCTGAAGATTAACTGAATAATGATTTCTCCTCTCAGCTCAGAAAAAATGCGTCCTGGATACGTCTGCATCAGCTAGCTGCTAAAGCTAATTCCACTTCAATTACTGCTAACGCCTTTAGCATCTGGAAAAATCAGCCTGATTCACTGAAGAGGTTTTTCCACTTCTGTATGAAGAAATGTTTTATTGGTTGTATATAAAATAAAAATAGCTGAATTTTAGATTTCTCAATCACTCTGCATCAATAAACACGTTTCCCTTGAAATGTTGGTATAAATTATTTCAATGAAATCTAATGAAATGTTACGCTAGCGGCTAATGATGTGTATTTAGTCAGAATAATCATTTTTCGTGTTGCTCTGGTCTTCGATCAAACCTGAACTGTTCCTGAGTGAACGAAGTGGAAGACGTGTGGCCCTCCTGCCTCAGAAGGAACGGCAGCCATGCATGTTCATATGATCTTTAATGTCAATATATACAGAACTTGAAAGAAAAAAATAGAATTTTAAAAATCAAATGAAATAAATACAATATCATACAATTTCCACAATGTCTTTTTGAAGAGAGATCAATGGAAATATTTTCTTTAATTCGACCTCTGGTTCGACGGGGTGCGTCCCGCCCCCCCCAGAGAAATCCCTCCACCACATGCTCTTCATCTCCATCATCATCATCATCATACACATTCATTCAGAGATATAAATATATATAGTGACATATATATTTAGATGAATCATTCTGCTATAATCATTACCTTCTAATTCCATCAGCAGCTTCTGTAACCTTTATTGATACGGCGGTCGATCGCAGACATGGGACCAAATGGAGTCTTAAAGGGAGATGAAGTGCAGGCTCTGTTCAAACATGCATCTATGTTCCCTAAAGTGCTGGTAAATGATTTTGATCCTGAGGGACTGTTTTAATCTGCCACATGCAGATTTTTTTTTAACTCTTATCCTGGAGTTACGTCTTAAGAAGGAAACGAGTCTCAATATGAACCTCAGTCAAGATCATCTTTCCACCACCCTCCATGGGTGAAGAGAACAAGTTCCAGACCAGAAAGGCAAACATGGAGAGGAAAGGGGGGGGAGAATGGCAAAGTGACGATGAAGAGCAGTTGGGGAGGGGGTGGGGGCACAGTTTGAAGAAGCAGCTTTGAATCAGCCAATCACAGTGAAGGAGAACGTCAGCTGGTGTTTCTCTTCCCCCCGAGAGGAAGAGAGAATGAAAGGCGAGGAGGGTGAGTGCATATGGAGCTGTGGAAATAAATACAGGTCTGTCTCCCCAGCAGTAACAGATAAACCTCTTTGGCCGACCTTAATGCAGCTTTTCCTGCCTGTCCTGTGAGCATGATGCTGCATGGGTCAAAGTGAAACACGTAGGATGGGGACTGGCCAAGGCTCAGAGGATGAGCGGCGTGAGTCTACATGTCTGTAGAGGTCAGCTTCTTCATGCTGCGTCTCTGGGCTAAACTGGAAGCTGCCACTGGTTCCAGCACCGGCTGACTGGTCTTCTGACTGAGCGCGGAATACGTTGCAGCCATGGCTCCCTGGAAAGAAGGAGCACAAGCATGAAGAACACAACCAAGGATTCTGCACAGGCTGCCTGCAGAAACTCCAGACACAGAGCAGCAGAGATCGCTTCTTTAAGCCCAGTTTAAAAGGTAAACAACAATAAAAATTGAATTTGGAGACATGCTACAGTTAATGTAGATAAACTGAGATAAACATAGATAAACGTAGATAAAGTGAGATCCAATCTATAATTGTAAAGGTGAAGGTGTGCATTAGCCCAGTTTACTCTGATACCCCGTCAGTTCAGTCACAGACAGCATCAAACGGAGAATCATACTCTGGTTAGATGAGATTTATATCTAAACTTTTGACCTTCCAGGAAAAAGCGCCGCCTAACCAGACGACGGACGCGTTACTCGGTTGGATAAGATATGATGAAAGTTTTATACAAACGTTTTATGGGTTTTTTCTGCATATAACTGAAAAAAAACTTTGATCTTGAATCAATTTTCATAAATCTGTGGATGTATTTTTCCATGTATCAAACTGCCTGCTTAATAAATTTTATCATTTAGATTTTCAAAAATGTCTTGGTAAGTTCTTCTTTTTACTTGTTAAATTTATGCAAATAGTGGTTTGTTTTGTATCTAATCCTACCTGCCAGGTGAGCAGGATGTGGTCAGGCAGGATGCAGAACGCTCTGGTCTGAGGAAAACTAAACATGTCCTTTCCTAACTGATAAAGTGTCACCAGAGGTCAGGGATGGATCCAACCTGGATGCTCATCAGGTTTAACCTTCACCTGTTATCCTGCTGTTAGTGTGAGGGATTGCTGAAGAGTCAATGAGTCCATGCAATCAGCTGGAGAGAAAACTCTGAATCAATCCGACTGGATGATCTGGTGAACTGGAAAGTGACCTGAGATGACATGCTGTGAATTGGAGCTATAGAAATAGACTGAATAGAATAGAAACTGAATTATCCTCGGTATTCAGACTGAACGTGTTTCCAGTTGTCAGGGATCTAGTGCCGTGCTTTAAGACTGCTGCTCCGCCCCCCCTGAGGTCTCCAGGTGGTTCACGCCGCTCGTCTGGCTTGACGGCGCCGAGCGCCTCGACTGGCCGACAGCGGAGTACGGAAATCAAAACTTCTGCAGACGACCTGCAAGCTCTACTTTCTCACTAAAAACAAGTTAAAACCGTTTTTTTAACCATCAAAGCAAAGAAAGATGAGCTTCTCTCTAGTTAGCAAGGAAACGACCAGAGACTTTAAAACCAAGAGTTGAAGCCCGACGCCTTTTTGATTAAAACACGAACGCAGCGTTCATTATTACAACTGAAACGCCAGCTGAGATTTTCACCTTAAAAATCCTTTTTCTAAAAGTTCCCCATTAGTTTCCCTCCTATGGAAAGCTTCCTGTCTGCAGCCTGAAAACCAGCAGGGCGGATCTATAGGAGGCGTTTCCTGAAACATGCCAGCTGGTTAAAGCGCAGCAGAAATTCAGAGTCTGCTCTTAGTTTCAGCTCTACAGCAAATCTACACAGAAGGCAAAGGTTAGCGGATTAGCCGTACGCTAGCTAGCTTTTTAAAACGATGAAGAAATGCCCAGAGAGGATTCTAAACTGAACTGATGTAACTAGTTTTAATTGAAGGTTAACTTGCTGAATAACAGGATGTTATGGTGAACATCATCGTGTGTCCTACAGGCTCACTTTGACCAGATGAGGGGCGTCATGGCGCGTCAGCTGGAAGTGTGGGAGAGTATCTCTGCACGTTATCCAGGAATGCTTGAGAACCTGCTCTGCCGTGTAGCGCTGGTGAGGGTCAACATGCAGCATGTGGGACAGCAGGTCCTGCAACATAAACATCTTCAGTCAGCGTTGCCATGGTTACACCGTGCCATAAAGAACCAAACAGAAGGACTGTAAATGTGCTGAGCGTTAAAGGAGGAATCAGTCTGTTTACCTTTGAGGAATCTGAAACCGTATCCCAGTTTCCTCCCGTCAGAGAAAACTTCCCCGATCCGATCCGCAGAAGAATCTCCTCCGGTGTGTCTTTGGGTCCGTTAGCGAACGGCGTGTACCTGACAACCACAATGATTCTCCCGTTTATTCACAAGCTGAAAATCATAAACAGTTTCATCGCTAAAGCAGCTGATGTTCCACAGTCTGGCGTTCAGTTCAGGTCTGAGCAACCTGCGCTTCCTGATACTGGTGAGAAGAACCAGGAAAGGTTTGACCCGACACGACACGACCGGACCCGACCTGATATGACTGGACCGGACCTGACTGGACCGGACCCGCCTACAGCCGTTAGCAGAGGATCTAACTGGTTTTATACCAGCAGCACAAAGTGTTTCAAAGAGCCGTTATAGAAATGAAACGTTCAACGCTGTTTCTAGAACTTTACCTGCCGCCTTCTGGAATAAAAACATTTTCTAACCTCCAAACCGTGATGCAGCTTTGCTTCAGTCTCTACTTTATTCCAGGATTCTGCCTCTTTAGCCTCTGAAGGACAAAATAAACATAGAATAGATATTAGCCCCATTTCCACCACCCTTTAGAAACTGGTAACCATGGTAACTGCTGAGTGTAAATGGCAGAACTGAACCCAACCGCGCTGACATGGTCTGAGTCCATCAGTAGGGCTCGGTGCGGTTCAGTTCTGGCTCGGTTCGCCTCATCTCCTCAGTCAGCCTCCGTAATTATTCAGAAAATTCTAGCTTCCCATGATTCCCAGTGATGATTCTGTTCAGCGGGATGAACCTCATCGTCTGTCGTCATTTCCTGCGTCTGGAAGCCCTGATTAGACGATCGTTTGTCGTTTCCACTTCCCAAAAGCCGACTGAAGTTAATTCACCAAAGGCTGCCTTCTTCTCCTGACTCTCCACAAACGTCCTGAATGTTACGGGCGCCGCCATGTTGGTTTGCTTGTTTCCCTCTAGAGAGCAGTAGTGCCTTACATCACAAACTCAGTCTGAACTCGGCATAGATCTGTTTTCAGAGCGTAGTGGAAATGGGGCTATAGATAGAATAAAGACCGACTCCATTCAGGAAAACTCTGCACTGTTGCTTCCTGTAGAGTAACGACTTATTGCTCTACTACACAGAACCAGAGCAACTGTTCAGTAGAGCAACAAATAGTCCTTATTTTATTGGTTTTATCTGATATTCACTGAAATCAGGTCTATTCAATGCTTCTGCTGTTAGTTATAATCTGAAATAAACAGATAAAAGCTGTTTGCTGTATGAGCAGCTCCTCCACTGCAGAGTCTAATAAATAAGACAAAATATGAGAGATGCAACAGTTTTAAAGAAGAACGATCGCCTGCAGAATGCAGAGCTGAGATGGAGGCTCAACGTTTGAGGAAAATACCTAAACGATCTTTAAAGACATTTCTTCTGCTCAGCTTTCCACTAAAAGCTTTAGCTTTACATCGTTTCTACTGCTGGTTTAATTTGATCATATTTGATCCTGTTGCTGGATCATTTCTGCATTTTTCAGCCAGTTTCACTGAAAGAAAATCAGCAGTAAAGCAATAACTGAGCAGCCTGTTTCTGCTCCCTGTTGGTCGCACGCTTACCCTGCCAACATGGTGTACAGCAGCACTCCAAGACTCCAAATGTCACAGGCTGCATCATAGCCTTGTCGCATTAGTACCTTAAGAGAAAAGGAAACGTGTCAGGATTCATTTCTTCTCCTTGAAGTGAGACCCCGCCCCCTGGCAGCCCAGGTGTTCTCTCTGTTTTCAGACTGCATGAGGTCCAGACTCACCTCTGGAGCCACAAAGTTGGCCGTGTAACAAGGGGTTAACAGCAGCCCGTTCCCCCCCCGCAGCTGCTTGGCAAACCCAAAGTCACAGATGCGAATAGAGTCGGGATTCCCAGAGTCGTCCATGTAGAGGATGTTGCTGGGCTTCAGGTCTCGATGCACCACCTGAGGAGAAGCCGGAGGAGGAGATGAGTGGCAGCGTCCCCTCAGCTCAGGACTGGGGCCGAGCTGGAGCGTCGCCTCACCCCTTGGCAATGGAGGTAGTCGACAGTCTTGGTGATGGTGTAGAGCACGGCGCTGGCCTCTCTTTCTGAGAAAAACTTCTGCCTGAGGATTCGATCCAGCAGCTCCCCTCCCTTCATCAGCTCCGTCACCAGGTAAACATACCTGCCCTCATCGTACACCTGAAACATCCACACCGCCATCAGTGGAGGGACTCCATTAAAGCTCTGTTAAAAGGTTCAGATTAAGGTACCAACATCTTTCAAGGTGATGATGTTGGGGTGTTGTCCGTATCGCATCAGGATCTCGATCTCTTCAGACGGATCCCTCTTACTTTTATCAATAATCTATGAGAAACAAACACAGAAAACACAAAAAGGAGCAAATTGGAGGTTAATTAAACTTAGAGGCACAGAAACAAAGTTAGTCTACAGCGCCCTCTGCTGGTGATCCCAGATTTATCAATAATTCAGCTGCAGAAAGATTTAGAAATGGATGAAATGTTACGGACTGTCCGCTGCAGCAGTCTCGCTTTCACACTGAAATCGTTAATCAATTCTTTCCTCCTGAACTCATAATTAATCATTTCTACTCGTCATCACTGGAACATTGATGCTGAAATAGTTGAAATGAACATGAAACCCCAACAGCTCTGTTACCTTCACAGCATAATCTGCTCCAGACACTCTGTGGACACATCGCTTACAGATGGAGTAGGAACCAACGCCGATGTCTTCCTGCAGCTCGTACAGATCCGAGAACTTGGATGAGCCTCCATGAACCTGCAGCAAGAAGACAATTTAATTTCCCCTCTTCTCTGCAAAATAAGGAAAGTTCAGTCTGGAAACAGATCTTATCAAACTATTTTAATTAATTTACCAAATGACTTCAGTCACGGATCTCATGTTTTTTCTATTTTGACCTTATTACTGCTAAAGGTTAGCACTGTTGCTATGCAGGGAACAGGTCCTGGGTTCAACACTGAGCCAGGGGCCTTTGATTATAAAAAAAATCAAATATGTGAATAAATACTGAAATAAATACAAAATGAAATCTCTAATAATCTATTAAATCTCCTATAAATAAATCTAAACTGGACAAATCAGGAAAAAAAGATGAGCTAAATAATCCTCAGTGAGTTCTTGAAGCTCCCAGCAGTGGGACGTTCATCCTCGACTCTAGCTGTGACCTTTGACCCCGCCTCCTCACCAGCAGAGAGGTAGTAAAGGTGCACAGCACCGATACAAACTCTAGTCTTTCATGAAAAGCTTGATTTAGGACTTTTTTTTTTTTTGGTTGATAAATTCTTGTTTTTTGTATTTAGTTCTTTACAGAACAAAACATCCTGGAGCTGTTTTATTTCTTTAACCCCTGCAATACACTGGCAGACCACTGGGGGTACTAGGACCACTGGAATGGAATCACTAGGATATAATTACTAAATGAGTTGACAATGATTTAATAATGGCTGATCAATAGTTTTAGTCCTAACTTAGAATCTGCAGCAGGTTTATAGAATGATGTAAATAGATGTGCAGAGCTTCAGTTCACCTGAACGATGGGCAGAATGCTGAGCAGCGGGGAGCTCTTGTTCTCATCCATCGGAGCTGGAGCAACAAAGCTGAAGCCTTTGAAGAGCTGGTGGGCGTTTGCACTGGGAGGGATACCTGGAGAATCTGAACACGCAGACAACACGTCAGGAAACGCTGCCACTTTGTCACTGTTTCCATCATCATGTGCATGTGAGAGTGCGTGAACCTTTAGGCGTCTTTGCAGTGAACTCGGGGTCAAAGCAGAAGGTATCATCGGGTTTACCAGCTGCAGGCTTGAAGGGGGGCTGAAGTTCTCTCCTGAACAGTTTCTGCCAATAAACAATCAAACTGTAGCACATGCTGGATGGAGAAGGAGAACAAGCGTTCAGGAGAAGTCAAGCTCTCTGGCAGATTAACCCCCTCCCATCCCCGGTGCAGCCAGTAGCATCCAGCTGGCTGCTAAACACTCACACAGGGCTATTAGAGCGGACGCAGTGGGAGCTGGACCGCTGCCCAGACTCCCACTCTCAGACCTAGATGGCTCAGCCAGGACTGATGGCCACTAGTCCTGAAGCCAAATGATTGAAGGTGTGAAGCTGCAGAGCTCTATGTGTGAGAAATATGAGCACTCACATTCCAGTCGATGGTGGAAAAGAAAGCGTGTCGTTTGATCTCCTCCACGCCGTCGGGTCCGGCCCCTGGAGACACAAACCGCTTTGGTTCACTGAACCCGGAGCGTTGGATTTCCTGTCCCTCACAGGATCAGGTTTACCTGGATGCTAACGAGCTTTAGCTAAGAGCTTGGAGTAAAGCTACGGCTTCCTTACCAAGTCGATTAGCAGGGTTACGTTTAAACAGCATTCGCAGCAAACTTTGGGCTTCCAAACTTAGGAACTGTGGCATTCCCAACTTAGCTCTGTGTGGGAGAGAAAGACGGAGCGGCGAGTTAAGGTGGGAAAGCAGAGAGGCGGAGAAGATTCACAGAATCTCACAGAACGTTTCAGACTCACTTCAGAATCATGTTCATGGTCTCATTCCGGTCTTTCCCTTGGAAAGGTAACGTCCCCGTTAGCATCTCAAACTGCAGATATACAAAAATCAGAACCCATATTAAACGCCATCTAGACACATTAAGATAAAAAAGCTCATCGGTTTTTAAACGGCAAATAAAAGGTTTTTCTTTGCTTAGACACCAACTGATTTTCTCTGGAAAATAGCTTAAATCCAGTCAGACCAGTTTAAGTAGAGATGCAAGTTTTTCATTTCTGATACGACACAGATACTAAACCATATTAGCACCAATTATTCCGGCTTTTATCCCTTAATTTATACAGTAGAGCGTTAGAAAAGGCCCATCAAACTAAAACAGGGACCAGAAGCCAACAGAAGGTATAAAAACAGCTGATGCTGCAAAATGAACCAGTGAGTCACAGAAACTTTAACAGAAGCAGAAAGTTTCTATCAGCAGGAAAAGTTTAGAAGCCGGCAGATAAAATATTAGAATTATTGTCTAATATCGGACCGATATCAGATTGGGACATGCCTACTTAAAAGCATCTATAAACTTCAGCTATCAGGCTTGAATATGATTAATGTCATGATTTGACTAGGCCGTTCTGACGCATAAGCTTAGATCAAGATTAGCTAAGCTAGATTAGCTCCAATGACTTTAACACTAACCTGCTCTAGTGCCTCTGATTAAGAAAAGTATCCCCACAGCATGATGCTTCCACCCCCATGTTTCATGATGTGATTAAGTGTTATGAAACAATGTGAGGATTTAGATGAGTTACCATCAGTACTCCCAGAGACCACCAGTCTGCGCTCTGCGTGTGTCCTCTCCTGTTGACCACCTCAGGGGCCATATACTCCACCGTACCACAGAAGGAATAAGCCTTCTTATCAGCATCTACTGACTCTTTGCTCAAACCAAAGTCTGCAGAAAAAGGACAAAGAGAAAAAGCAATAGCTTCAGAGTAATGCTGATGTACAGCCTGTTAAAACCGTCAGAATTTAACTTCAAAACAGAAATAAAGGTCATTTAATGAGCACAATCAAATGAAGAGCTACCTGTCAACTTTATATGTCCAGCTTCATCAAGTAAGATGCTGAAAGAAAAGTTATTAGAAAGTTTAGTTTGATAAAAATTTGTTTTTCAGAGACGGCAGCCATTTTCCTTTTTGTAAAACAGGTTGAATCTGGATCTCTGACAGATCAAAGGAAAATAACTTTGTGTTAAATTTGTGGTTCAGATCAAGGTTTGAATCTTTCAGTTTTTTCTTTAACTTACGGCTTTTAAACCAGGAGATTCAGACTGAGATCTTGAAACAACAAAAGTTTTTAGTTGATTGTTAAAAACTAGAGCAAGTCAATTTAGAAATTTACAACAAATACATCAATGTTCTTTAGAAATTAGAAAGAAAACCACAAAGTAGAGCATCCATCTGGATCTATCTACAGCTTTAACACTTTGATGCGTCTGGGTCTGCTGGCTTTAATGACGGGAAATGATCAGCGATCTATAAACTGGAAGATGCACCAGTGGCTCCTCCACAGGAAATCCTCTAAAATCTGCACATTTAAACTAAAAGAAAAACAGAAAGATGAGGAGGAGGAGTCAGACGCAGCATAATGACGGTAGAAGAACAACATGGAGCAGTCTGAGCATCCAGCCTGTTGCTGCATCTTTAATTCCTCTCATTTAACAACAAAGCAGCTAAATCTCCCTCCTCACTCCTGATTAATCTACAGAAGATGCTTTAAAAAGCAGATCAAAGGCTGCAGGTAGATTTAATTATAATGACAAAAACCAATACATTATCAATAGTTTATGCATTCATTGATGCTGCATCTATAAAGTTATTACATCATCCCAGTCTGGAATCCATCTTTAAAGCCGTAAATTAAAGATAAAGAACTGAAGCAGTTTGTTTAATGAGGAAGAAACAATAAATATTATAACATTAAAATGAATGAATTCTAGACTCAAACAGTTTTTGAATATAAACTCATGTAAGCAGAGACAAGGAAGCAGAAATAATGTGCTGGTGCTGTGTGTGTGTGTGTGTGTGTGTGTGTGTGTGAGTGTGTGAGTGTGTGTGTGTGTGTGCAGGTTAGAAGGTGAGAAATGCGGCATACTTCTCTGGCTTCAGATCTCTGTAAACTATGCCCAGGTTGTGCAGATGGTCGAGGGCCAGAGCCAGCTCTGCAAGGTAGAATTTCACATCTTCCTCTGTAAACATAACCTAATAAGAACTGGACAGATTTACTCTCTGATCTCCAAGGAGAAATGCAGCAGCAAAGTGAAAACAGACACATTTAAGATCAAGCTGCAGATCAACAGATATTATTGTCACAATAACAGCGTTTCAGAGACGATTCAGGGAAGCGCTGCCTCCACAGCGATGCTGCTTTCTAAGTTTCAACACAAGGTCCATCATAGCAGAGGCTCATGGTTTGAGTGCTCAGAAAACATTTAAACGGAGCTGAGCTGAGGATGAAAACATTCATTTAAAGCAGAAATCGATCGATTCGTCTATCAGTGAAATTAGGAAACATCATCTTAACTCCTCTGAGTTTAACACTGAAGCTCTGCTCCCATGGTTTTCCACAAACAAATAACTAAAATGATTTCACAGTTTGGAAAAGTTTGAAAAAGAAGCAGGTTAACAGTAAACTGGTTTATGTATTTAGAAATGAGCTTACCTCTTTGGATAAGCGAGTGAATACATCCCCTCCCCTGAGAAAGTCCAGGATTAAATACAATTTCCCTTCTGTCTGAAAGGCTGCAGGTGAGAAAGTAACAATGTTTAAAATACTCTAATCAATGAATTTATAACATCCTGTAAATTAAAGTCATGGGTTTGTCTTTTCAGTCATGGAGAAAAACGAACCGTTACTGTTATAATTAAAGTAGGAAAGCAGCAGCTGCAGTAATAACGGGTCTGATTGACCGAAGATCAGCACCTCTGAAAGCAGAAACCTTTGCTGGGTTCTTCCCTTCATTCAACCTGTGTGTGTTTTAACAGAATGCACAAAGGAAACCAATCAGCATTCATGTTGGAAAAGTCCATCATTGTCAAACCAAACCAATCACCAACGAGGGGAAACATCCAACATGGCGGCCGGTCCTTGGTGGACCTCCCTGGTTTTTAACCAAATCCCAGAAGATGTGATGCTCAGAATATTGAGACAGCTGTAGCTGTCTGCATGGCGGCCAGGCTACGTTCAATCTGAGGTTTATGACACTACAGTTAGAAAAGAAACGACCTGAAAGGCTTTAAAGGAAAAACGGCCCGATGGAACCAAAGCCTTCTGGACCAAGAAGAGCTGCTTGGTCCAAATGCAGAGAAAAGCTGAAGGGGAATATCAGCAGCATCGAAGCAACAGTCAGGTAAAGGGGGGGTGGGGGGGTGGTAATGCTTAATATAATCCCAGCTGCTCTAATCAACAGATTAAAGATCCACAGGTTGAAATCCAGACATGTGACTGAAGAGCTGAGCGAAAACAAAGGTGTAAAAATGTAAACGAACTCATCTGGTGATTGATTACTCCACAGTGATAAAGCTGCTTTTAACGCTCAGTTTTTCTCATGACTGAATAGATCAACTCTGTTCCAGTGAGTAACTGGTTCTTACCATAGTGCAACTTCACTATGAAGGGATGATTAACTTCCACTAAAATGTCTCTTTCCATCTTAGTGCGAACTCTGTCCCTGACTGGAGAGATTAACAGGCTTAGAAATCAGCAAAGCCAAGCTTTGAGTGGACATCAAACAAAATGGCGTTACCTTTCAAAGAGGCTTTTTTTAGTACTTTCATTGCATATAACTGCCCAGCATCTGGACCCATGATCTTCCTGACCAGAAACACCTGAGAGTGAGAGGGACAGCACTCAGACTTCAGGTCATGGAAAGGCGGGAATCGTACTCGCATTGCTTTGCTTACCTTGCCAAAAGAGCCCTGACCAAGGACCTTCAGCAGTTCAAACTGAGACGGCTCGGCTTTCTCACAGCCCTCCTTCACATGGTGGGTGATGGGAATCTCTTTATACGTCCCGTCTTCCTGCACAGACAATATGAGGATGAGACAAAGACGCGGCGTGGAAGAGGCGTGATGAAGTCAGAGAGCAGTACTCACACAGTGTGAGAAAGACTCTCCCTCCTCCATGGGCTCGTCCATCATCTGATGTCCATTGACCTGAGGCCAGATCAGCACAATCATCAGCCTTCAGCAGTAAATGACTTCACTGAGCTTCTTCATCCGTGTTTTTATTTGAGCAGAAATATGAGTGCAGCTGCTGCACGCCTACTTTCAACAGATTTTATGGATGAGTCACATGCGATGCGCTTCAACTCTTCCCAACTGAGACTCTGCTTGTTGTCAAACAGTATGGAGTCCATACTTTAATCTGGTCCAGCTGTCCTGCTCTCATCCTGCCCCCATAAAGCCCCTTAGCATTAGCATTCTAGCCTAATCCCCAGCTAGTGCAAAAACACCACCTCTGAGCAGCTCCACTCAGCTGCAGCCACCAGGTTAATGCAGCTCACAAAGATGCATTTTAATAACAACAAAAACAGCATCATCACCTGTTTTCATCTACTCACATTTACAGGAGTCTATTTTTAATGCTTTTATTATTTCTACTAATAACAGATACCTGTTAGAAAAACTAGATGAATGTGAGGAATCAGCAGGTGGATGAAAACACAATCAGATCATCAGCAACATTTCCCCTCAGCGCTGCAGCTCAGCCTGCGTTGTGTTCAGTCCACAGTGTTTGTGCTGAATTCCACTCAGGTTCTGAGGAGGGAGAATGAGTCATCGCGCTACGCAAACCCACTCAGTGGGTGGAGCCACCAACTCATGTGCATCCACACAAGAAACCACGTTTCAGTATGTCACCACCACAGAGCAACAGCAACAAACATCCAGATTATTAAAACCTTCTGAGGCGACGAGGCGCCCAGCAGACTTCAGAAGGACAGAAAAAACCCACCAGGTTAGGTAAAAACGCCCGGTCCAGAGCCAGAGCAACGCTTCGGCCATCTTTCACACATACATACTCCCTCCCACCTTTGCTGTGGCTCATCACAGCCTGCCAATGATCCCAGCCTACACCAGCAGGCCGGCCTTTTGCAGCCCTTTCATAACCGTCTCTAGGATTTTCATACAAACCTTTCCTTTAAAGCCAAAAGAGATTAAAACATAGAGTTGAAACGCATCGACCCAAAGGTTACAGTGCAAAAGCAACTCTTCATAAATACAAATGTTCTTGCTGTAAAAATGATTAATAAATAACAGCAGTGGCTGAAATGCTGACTACAGCACAGAGCCAGTTTAAAGCTATAGAGGAGGATCTTTTATTTCCGGGTGGATCATCTCAATCAGTGGTCCTCCTAACTGTCAATCATTCTGGTGATGTGTTTATGTAAGGCCGTCCTACGTGCTCGTCCTGTTAGCTAACGGGGTCAGTTAACGGAGTTCACTATAAAGTTCACTATATAGTCCCCGCTCTATAGTGATGTAGGAGTCGGAGCGGTCGGTCGGGCACAGGAAGCTTGGATGAGAACAGCGACTGTTAAACAGAGCGTGCACGAGGAGAAATGGGCTCGTGCACGCCCTCGCACACGCATTTTTTATTTCAAGTGGAGAGCGTGAGTCTTTTCAAAAATTAGTGAAAATCCTCCACAATACCTTTAACAGTAAAACCAAGATCATCTTTGATTTTAAAAGTGTATAAAAATGTAGGGACCAACAACAGATGATCTGATAAACGTTCACTTCATTTACAACAAACCTGACAAATGCTTTGAATAGAATAGAAAATCCCTTTATTGTCTCACAATGGAGAAATTGTAGAATAACTAAAAATGTCTAAGAATAATATAATAGCAGAGAGTTAAAAGATAAACAATAAAATCCTGTAAAGTGTTTTAATAATATAAAACTGGAGAATAAATAACCAAATTTTTACAGTTATGGATAACTAATAGGAATAATCTCTATTTTCTGTCTCTGCCACGATAACCTGCAGGACTTTTATGTCTTATAGTTCTACTCCATAAATCTACTCTATTACTATTAGATTAAATCTATTAACTCTATTAAACTACAAAACAGATAATGACAGAGGAATGGGATCCAATCCTGAGAATAAAATTAAAGTCTTAAGCTAAAATTTCTCACAGAGGAAAGTTTTTAGAAAGTCTGATACAATAATTCTCTTCAAGATAATAATAAATTAAAATCTGTGTTTTTATGCTAGTCAAAGGTTTCCATCTGAGCAGCACATGCTGACGTTATTCTAAAAGGTTCCAGATAAAAGTATGCAGAGGCTTTTATAGTACTTTCACATCCATCATTAACCATATTTATGAGTTAATATGTTTTTAACTTTAATAAAGTCTAAGAAATTTAGGGCACAATTTTCTGCTTCTTTGTTTATAACACAGTGTTGATTAATTAGGTTAGATTAATTAAATTTATCAGAATGAAAACTTTATTATTATGAGAAAGTGGATTATTTTTAATCACAGGTCAAACATAAGGATCTAATATTTCCAGAAGAGAGATGTAATGTTTTAATGATTAAATAAAGGCAGAGATGAAAGTCACTCAGTTTATAACTTTAATTAAAGGACTAAAGAGCAAATGGAAAAGACTGGAACCATTAAAACCTCCCAGTTTAAATGTAAAGAGTTGCTGTTAATCTCAGAGATTTTCAGGATTATAGAGATGAAAACTTGCAAACATGTTTCATCTTAAAAACACGCAGATGAAAAGGATTCAAAGAGACTTTCCTTTAAAAGTTTAATTTTCTGTTTTCAGTACAGATTTGATTAAAAATAACGAATAGAAAAGGGAAGCAGTGGCTTTAAAATGTAGTATAGCTTTATTTGAATCACCTTCTGCTGAGTTTAACATCTATAAAACTGATCTATCTGATCTAGTTTATTTAAATCAATAATCAATAAAGTCTTGCTGCCAAGGAAACCAGCGCTAAGTTGGTTATCAGACTGAAAACAGTTAAAAATAAATAAAAGCTTTAATGTTTTAAAGCTTTAAGGAGTCTGTAATTAGTAAAGTTATAGAGTTTGTTCATAAGTAATAATAATTTGCTAATGCTAACTGTAGCAAGCTAACTGTGAAGTGAACTTATCCTGAGCTGCTTAAAGAGAAACAAAGATTAAAAAAATAAAGATTCTTTTATGAGATAAAAATCAGAAATAGCAGAAACTAAAGCTTCAGCGGGAGTTCAGTCAGAGAGACTAAAACACTCATTTATTATCGGTCCCAGTCAACCAGCTGTTAGCCTGAGCTAACAGGTTAGCATCCCTGAGCAGCTGTTAGCTTGAGCTAACAGGTTAGCATCCCTGAGCAGCTGTTAGCTTGAGCTAACGGGTTAGCATCCCTTAGCAGCTGTTAGCCTGAGCTAACAGGTTAGCATCCCAGAGCAACTGTTAACCTGAGCTAACGGGTTAGCATCCCAGGGCAGCTGTTAGCCTGAGCTAACGGGTTAGCATCCCAGAGCAGCTCTTAGCCTAAGCTAACGGGTTAGCATCCCAGCGCAGCTGTTAGCCTGAGCTAACGGGTCAGCAGAGCTAACTGAACGTCACCCACAGGATCCCCACGCAGAGCGCGGCTCCATCCACTCACCTCGCTGCTAGCGCTGGTTACCTCCATCTTGTGCCGGGATCTACCTCTCAGTCTAAGGCATCCTACTCAGCATAGAGCCCCTCTCCACGCTGCGTGGATTCCCTTCTCCGTGGAAGTCTTGTTCTGCTTTGGTGTTCGGATGCCGTGGGCTGCGTGGGCTGCGGGACGGGATGCGGGATCAATGCGGGAGAAGTGTTTGTGCTTCTGACCGCATCATCGGCTCGCCCAGAGACCGCTACCCTGCCAGAGATGCGAACATGGCGGCTTCTGTGGTACCTGACCGTCGGTGAATGGGAGTGGTGACGTATTGATGACGCAGCTCAGTGGAGGATTTCCCCCAGTCCAGAGCTGAGCAGTGCATCTCCAGACTGCATGGAGGGGGGGTGGTCACAGGCTGTGAATGACGACACATCCGGTGGATGAACGACATTGGAAGAAGTTGACTGATTCCTGACGTAATGATGACACCAGTTCCAAAGCTGCTGCAACATTAACTCAGCATCCAGAGTCCCAGCGGGAAGATTTCTCTTCTGCTCCTCCACCCACAGACAGACTGGTCACCCCCAGGCAGACTGGTGAGACTGGTCTCCCACAGGCAGACTGGTGAGACTGGTCTCCCACAGGCAGACTGGGGTGGAGCTAGATGGGGGGCCAGGGGTG